ATGACATAAAACCAAAACATCATACGTCTGTGTACCTATTATCGTTTTATCTTATATATCTCAATGGTTCACAAACTAAATCTAATCTAAAAGTAGATCAGTCTTTGGATAAAATATGTACTCATACCATGTCATTTTGTATTGATTTTTATATGCCATTGTCACAAGAGAAAAACAACAAGTGAAAGATATTAGTAATCGACAGCCAGAATATTTAATGTCTGCTGACATGTTTGTCTTTCTGTTACTAGGTATTTTTTTTTCTTCGTCTTCTTATTTTTCTAATGTCTACTTTTCAACCCACGCTTATGACTCAAATGCGAATGAAAAAAGATTATTTTTTACGATGACAAAAACAAAAAACGAATAAAATTATTATTATTATTATTATTATTTACTCGATAGATATTTCTTGTGGTATATAAGTTAATGGTTTTATAATAGGTGATTCTTCTTCAATAGAATTTTCATTTGATCGTAATCGTTTATCAGTATCACTTGATGATGATGATTCACGTTTTCGTACACGAATTTGTGATGATGATGATGATGATGATTCGTGATTACGTCTTAATGCAACAATAGCAACTAAAGATTTTGGTGAAGTTGTTGTTATTGTTGAAGATAATGTTGATGATGTATCTTGATTTTGATGATGATGATGATGATGATCAGTATTAAAAAATAAAATATTACTTGTTGTTGTTTTAGGTTGATAATCCAATGAATAATATGAATGACATATTGATTGAGAATTCGTTACTGTTGATAAACATGTTTGATAACGATTATTACCATTAAGTGTTGGATCTAATGAACCACCTAATGATATTGGAATATCATCTAATGAATAATTATAATGTGTTATAAGTACGTCACGCATTTGATCTGATGTATACATCATCACCTAAAATATGAAATGAAAATAGAATTTAATAGAATTTCAAATATATGAATAAAAATATATATGTAAATAGTGAATATAATGAACTATATAGACACAAAACGAAAAGAACATGCGTGTAATAATGTGATATGAATATATTCTACATAGGAAAGTGTTTTGCTTTTTTTTGTCAAGTTAATATTCATTTCGTGTTATTCTCACCCTATCACGCAGTTTTCGACTTAAAAAAATTGAGAGTACCTTATAGGCTATTTTGAACCATTTTGGTGCTGAAATGATAAATATATTTTTTACCATAGCTGGATAATTACCCTATGATTAAAAAAAAATTGTCTATTTAATATGAATTAAAAGAAGACATTAATTTACTTGAAGAAGTTTGAGAATTTTTCTACTAAGATTCATATCAAATTGAGATGCTGAACAATTTTGCATATCATAAATAAAATTTAAACCAGTATTTTGAACTTCCATACTAAAATAAATAATAAAACAAAAATTATTAATTAATTTTGTTTTTAAACTAACTTTTCAGTGGCAACATCAAGTTGACAAATTAATGCTTGTAATGAAATTAACTCTCGATCTTGTTGTGAAAGTGAATTTGTTGATGTAATATCAATAAGATGTGCTGCTGTAAAATAAACATTCAATGGTTGATTTGGTAATTGTCGCTAATAATGAAATAAGAGAAATATATATACAGATCATATTAATAGAATTATTTAATTCATACTAAAGTAAAAAATTTGTTAGATTGAATTTCACGTATAAGATGAGGATTATTAATCCAAATACGATCGAGATTTTCAGCTTTACGAACATTCTAATGAACAAAAAGAAATTAAAATTAACAAATAAATTTTTTTATAAATAGTTATACTGACTTCATATGTTCTATACAAATTAATTGCTCGATTAACATCAAATTTCATTGGAATTAAAAATTTCATTGCTATTTTCCATTTCATACGTGCTTCCTCTGTTGTCGAGTTTACTGGCCATCCCATACGTTTAAGAAAATTTCCAGTTTCCTACAAAAAACAAAAATACAAATAATATTTGTCATGAAGAATAGTGAATTTATTTGTTTACTGATCGAACAAGTTCATGAACGTCGTATTCGATAATCATACATGGACTGCACGGCATCATGCTATACTACGACTTAGTAAACTTCTACTTACCTTTTATATAGGCTATACGAGGTCGCAGTCGCCGAAAAAGACATTTATTCTTGATCAAACATAACTGATGTCTGCCGTTTTTTCCGCGAAAAACACCCTTTTTTTTTGTTGTTGGCTTCTATTATTTAACAGAACACAAAATCTGACATTCTTCTTTATCCTAGAAAGGTCTACTATACCGCAGAATATGATTTTTTTGTAAAAAGAAAAGAAAACTATTTAACAAAATTATCTATTATTCTCGGATTTGATAGATACATAAAATGAAACAATAATTATCGATTTAGTAAGTATATATTCGTAGAATTAATTTGAATTGAAATATTTCTGTTGAAAATTATTCATTTTGAAAAATGTTCTATGAAACTTATAATGACTTCCTAGATGATTTTTAAGAAGATTATTATAATGAATATACTCGAATAAAGCTTACTAAAATCATCGAAAAACCTTCAAAAGACTTAAAAATATTAATTTTAACTTTATTTTTAGAAGCAATGCGCTAATTAATGACAGACTGATTTCAATATGTAATATGAAGACGTTGAGTCAAATTAAAAATATTTTTCTACAATTGCGAAAATGAAGTAAACAGATAAATAATTTACAGTTATAAAATCTAATGAAATGCATTTTTTTAAATTACTTTTAACAAAAATATTTTTTTTGAATTCATCAAAATAAACTATTTACAATTTTGCTTCAAAATTAAAAATATGCTTTTGACTTCTTTCAAATGTCCAAGATTTTGCATTAAAAGCACATAGTCTAGTAGCACATTATTTTGATGTCGTTTTTAATTTAGTTTCGATTGTCAAAAGTGACAATTTTCTTTTGACATACACATGCACACAAATACACCCTTATACTTTCTCTTTCTTAGATACATACACGAGTTGATTGTGTGTACAATGTACGATCGCTTATATTGTCACTTAATGGACGATATTTTAAGAGACTGACCAATGGTTTATCATGTATATGATTACCACCTATAGCATTATTTGTTTGTCCTTCGGTCACGGTATTTACCAAAGACGATGTTTTGAATGGTCTCATAGCAACTGATCGAATTAAAGATAAAAAATCATTAGAAGTTGAATGTCGATTTTGAACAGAGTTAGTGTTTGTAGGATTTGAAGGTACACTTGTTGATACCGAAGATTTCAAATGTGAAATATTAAGTGGTCTAGATATTGATCTTCTTTCAAATAATGTTCTTGTCGATCTTGCTGTTGAATAATGTTTTGTATCTGTAGATAATCGACGATTAGTAGGTTCATAGAGAGAACATTGACTTGTAAAACGATGTTCGTCTAATACATCAGTAGTCATAATAGTTTTTTTTTCTTGGTTTCTATATGTCGTTTACTTTGTGACTTGTACCTTTTTTTTTCTTTTCAGTTTTTCTTTCAATATTAGACAATTAGAAGAAAACGATTGAGACAAGGTGAGAAAAAGCAAAGCAAGCGTAACGTAATGAAAATCAAGGCGTATATATAAATAGATACACGTTTTTTTTTTCCACAACGTTTTGTACTTTTCGTTGGCAGAAGAAAAAAAAAAGGTTCAAATATAAGAAGCAGACCGATTCATAATACGACGACGAAAAACACGTTGTTTGTTTCGACTTTGACTTGTTCGTTCTCTTGTCTTGTGTTATTTTTCTTTCTCGTCACAGGTGAAAGCAAAAAAAAAAATCCGCGTCGATAAAAATGTTCTCTTTTTCTCTTTGTCTGTCTCTTTTTCTCTCTTTTTCTTTATTCTTTACTATTGTACATAACTCAAATTTCTCTTGTTCCAGTATTCTACTTTTTTTTTTCATCGCATTGTGTCCGATTGCATGCTTGCATGCGTGCATACAATGAGGTGTCTAGGTGTTCATTTTTCTTTTTGAAGCTGTCATTAGAAAAGATAGATTTCTTTGTATCATATTATTTTTGCTGTTTAGCAAATAAAATGAATTTTGTTGAATAAGAAAAAAAAGAAAAAAATTTTAATTGAATAAATAAGAAAGGAAATTATTTTTAATTATTTTTTTCATACATCATATTGATTGATGATAATTGATTATGAATAAAAATAAAAACAGAGTAAATAGACACTTTTCTGTTCGATCTAATTTTAGTAGTTAACGTTATTTGTAATCTATATTGACGTCATCAATATTGTTAATGATATTCTGATGAGTTTTTTTTTCTTCTCTTATTTGCAATCTTAAAAAATATATTTTTTATTAATTGACACTAACCTGACCAAAATAGTAATGATTCTAACACATGAAATATTGAGGAGCAACAAATAGAGAAATTAAGAAAACCAAAAAAATATTTGCTAATCAATGGACGTATCTATTTTGTTAGTTGCATTTATTTGTTCTCTATTTTTTACAAATCAAAAAATAACAGAAATGTTAATGTTCAATATATATAAATAAGTCAGTCTTCATTTTGACCGATTGAACTATGCCAAAGGCGGAAAAGGATAATTAAGACAAGAGGAAGAAGAGTACTTTTACATCTTATTTATATTTATGAAAACGGGAATTGTAAGTCTATATAACGTGACATAACTTTGAATACAAAAAAAGAAAAGAACTTCTCCGACAGCATTTATTTAATAAACTTACGGCTTTTTGTTCTGGTCGAATGTCCATAATAAGTTCAATGTATCAATCTAGAATATAAATGGAAGACACGTAATAATAATAGCAAATAAACATTTTCAAAAAAAAAAACAAAAATCCTCCCCCGCCATTTAACATCATTTGTCATTTTGACAAGAAAAAAGAACCGACGATATATTTCTTTTTTTGTCATCAAAAAAAATTTTTTTGTGTTCAGTTTTATTTTTTGTTATTTATTTAACATTGACACGTCTTTTCTATTGATAATTTTTATTCATTTATGGCTAATAGCAATCATGATAGTCATCATCGATTATATAATATATCAATAATAAATTCTAACCAATATCAACATGGATCATTAAAAATTTTAAAAAATGAATTCTCTGATTTAATTAAAGATCCACCTGAAGGATTTATTGTTGAACCAGATCAAAAAGATTTTTTTATTTGGCATGTTGGAATATTTGGTGCACCAGATACACTTTTTTCTGGTGGTTATTATAAAGCTATACTTAAATTTCCTTATGATTATCCTTATCGACCACCAACATTAAAATTTCTTTCTGATATATGGCATCCAAATGTTTATCCTGATGGAAATATATGTATATCAATTTTACATGAACCAGGTGACGATGAACGTAGTGGTGAAAAAGCTTGTGAACGATGGAGTGTTGCACAAAATGTTCGATCTATTCTATTAAGTATTATATCAATGCTTAATGAACCTAATACATCATCACCAGCTAATATTGATGCTAGTATTGAATATCGAAAATATAAAGAAGATCCAATTAATTATCCAACATATAAAGAAAAACTCAAGTAAAACAAAAATAAAATAAAAGGACAATTTGATTTTTCCATTTTTGAAGAACAGAAATACTGTTCAAAGGCATCATTCTAAGTTCATTCGATAGAGAAGTTTTCGTTCTACAAAAATCTGAACTTCGGTTTTTTAAATAAGTTTTTTCTTGTTTACAAAAAATTGGAAAAATTGACGACTCCTTTCACATTGCTCAACTGTGATCTCCTGTTATTTTCTGCTGACATTTAAGGATTTGTACAAGTTTGTATTCATCAAGTTTGATGTTAAATTTAAAATATTTAGCATCAATAAATAGAGGATTTTATGCTCTATGCTTCCAAAATCTTCTCAAGACTCCTAATGATATCATTGAAGTGCAAAAGGCTTGAAACTAATATCTAGTAGTATTCTGTTTTGAATATGCTTTTGAAACTCGCGTTTTCAGAAGTTAGAGTGCACCATAAACCATTTCACGTTATATCTCATCGGATGTAGAATTTAATTCTGAACAAAATAATGTAACATTTAAATTCAACAATGAAAATCTTTAGATTGTTCCCAATAACATAAAGTTGATAGAAAGAATTCTTTGTGTCGTTTTCTAATTTTTGCTTGAAAAATTGTTCTTCCAAATGTTTTTTTCCTCTAAAATTGTAAAACATCGAGAGATGCAGCATTTCACGGCGTATCTTACAGTATATTTCAAATTTCGTTATTTGAACATATTTTTAATAATTGTTTGGTTTCTGAATAGCCGTAGTGTAATGGTTGACGAGGGAACTACCTCAACTGACACTCACCGTTTGAGCTCATATTGGGTCCACAGATGGATCTCACTGAGAAAAGCAAAAGTCTAAAAGGATTCGTTCCCATTCACCATTGTCGCTACGTTATGATCAGTTTATTGGATTTTTTACCTATTTTTAGAGAGTCATCGGAAGACCGAATAACCAGAATTGTGATCCAAAATTTTGCCTATGGATATGTCTAATAACTCTTAGAATATCCTGAATGTTTCAGCCGAAGAGAATTTTCCTTCGTCGTATTGTTAAATATATAAGTGAACTCAATTTTTGTGACATGTTTGTGACGAAGGGCTATTTTTGAAAATTCAATATCTTGATGAAAGAACACTCTTTTTGGTTGAAACTTTCGGAATATTTTAAGATTGATTCAACCTATCCATAGGCAAAATTTTTAATCAAAACTCTGTTATTCTCTCTTCTGCGAAGTACCTAAAAATAGGTGAAAAATCCAGTAAATCAATCATAACTCGACAACAAATGCCCATAGAGACGAATCATTTTAGTCTTTTGCTATTCTCACAGAGATCTGCTTGTGTGTCCAATATGAGTTCAAACGATGGATGTAACTTGAGGTAATTTTCTGACGAGTGACTGGATCCTTTCGACTTTTCTGCGATAGAAAAAACTTATTTTCAGAACAAAATTGACAGTTTTGTAGAGCGAAAAATTCTCTATCACATGAGCTTGGAATAATGTCTTCAAAAAAAAAACAAACGACAGAAAATCAAAGTGTCCTATTCTTTATAAGCCACCCATTATTTCAAAACAAAAACTATTTTCGACTTTTTTTTTTAATCTTAGTCATCTAATTGAAAAAAGTAAAACAATAGCGAAATTAGAAGGCATTGAAATCCCTCATACAATAGAAGAATATACAAAACGATTTGATAAAAAATTACCGATAACATCAATTGATGATATACAAAATTATATAGTTGATGATGATGATGATGATGATGATGATGATGGACAGTCTGAAGATAATCAATCAAATGATAATTATTCTCAAACTTCTCGTGAAAATTCACGTATAAAATTAATAACAAATTCTGAAATTAAAATTGCTATCAAAACAATGACTAAACATAATAATAATAATAGTAGTGGTGATTATGATGATCTTTTATATCGAAAAACCAAAGAATTTATTTAATTAAAACACTTCTATTTTTATGAATAGATACATAAAAATTAAAGATGAAGACAAAAAAAATAAAAATAGTTAGTAGAATTAAATAAAGCGACAGAAAACAAAAAAAAACTGGGATTGACAAATCTACATTATAAGATTTTCTATTAATTTATAGTGTTACAAAAAAAAAGGAGAAAAATATGAAGTCAAACACAAAATCTAATGAAAACTGTTCTGATAAATAAGTTGTGTCGTATATAAAGCAAAAAGGAAAACAAACAAACTAAATATTAAGGTCATCAGATCAATATAGTGCTGCTCGATTTCACAACAAGATACGAGCGAACTCCTGAGAAATATACATATAAGCTCAAATTTTTTTCTCTATTTTGAGAGTGATTTTGTTTGAAATTGGAATATTTAGAATTATGCAAATAAAATTTTCAAAACAAACAAAAAATATATATATATATATAAATTCTAGAATTAAGATTCATTTAACACGTAAAATAGGTGTTTGTAAATGAAGTTCACTATCAGCAGATACAATAGGAATTTTGCCTGATTTATGATATGATATAAGATGTTGAATTGAATCAAATTCATAATCTTTTGTACGAATCTATAGAAAAGAATTATAAATAAGATATTTATTTCTATTATATACTTACAACTCCTTCAGGATCAACAAGAAGTAAATGTTTAAATTGATTTTGATAACGACCTGATAAAATAAATTGACCAGGAATTTTTACACTTTCACGTACAAGAAAATCACCACTATGAGTTAATAAATGCTCAGCCTAGAATAATTAAGACTACATATGTCACAGTTGATATAAAAATTAAAAAAGAATTCTCTTAGAAAAAGATTTCTAATGAGTAAAAGCAATAGACTGAAAACTGGGTAAAATGATCATAACTTGAGAAGAAAAAGTCTAATGGTACGGTTGCTTTCAGGATTTTTATCTGCACTATGAGATCAAATAGAAATTATCAGTTGATTGGATTCGCTCGTTAGACAAAAGTTCATAAAATAAAGTTACATTAAATAAAAAAATTTTCTAACTTCTCTATTTCATTTGTTATTAATTACGACTACAGTTCATATGAGAACTTTTCTTTCGGAATCATTTTAGAGTTCTATGCGGCATATACTATCAATTATATTGGTTAGACAATAAATTTAACTTTCAATTGCATTAGTGTTGACAACCATTCATTATGTTATAATATTACAATTATAAGACACAAATCTGATATAATGCACTATTGTTTTTAAGAAATTAGTCATATCGACCTCCTACTTGTGTGAAGAAATACTTTTAAAAAAATTATTTTTTCCGGATAATTTCATTAATCATTCAATGTCACTATTTCTTAGAAATATATATATTCTATTTAACAAAATAAAAATAATCAACTTATTTTTGTTTAGGCCAAGAAAGACAAGTCGTTTCCGATCGGAAAATGGTAAGAATCTGGTGACTGACTATGCTCAGAATTCGAAAAAGCCAACCATCGGTATCTGATTTCCCGGTTCTTCGTATTTTTCTGATAGGAAACATGCCTCTTTTATAGTGAGAACCTAAAATCATATTACTAAAAAAGACAAATTTTATACATGCACGAAATCTTTTCTTGTAACATTATAAAAACCATTATTTCAATCTCATCTGCCACATATATATTCAAACGTTAACACTTTATATTCTTTTTAGTCATAGAATAACTACTTAATCTTTTAATTTTTTTTTTTGTTTTCGAGTATTATATTACCTCTTCTCGACTAATCTTTCCATGAAACCAATTTTCTTTGTAAACATCCAAATTATTCATTATATCCCATCTACCTAAAAAATAAAAATTAATTCAAAAAAAACCACAAACTAACTGTCATTCATAAGAGTAATAATATTTGTCTTTCGAATAAAACTTGACAAACAATTCAATAATTTGCATATATTGTAACAAAAATACTAGTAGCCACGTATTCAAACGATTGAATTTTTTTCTTTCATTTTATGCATACTGTTTCATATATATATATATATATATATGATCTAACTTATCTGTCAATGGATATTGATATGCACTAGCTATTGAAAAAAGCAATTGAGAAACAATAGATTGTCTATAATGAAAGATTTAATGGGATATGTTCATGATTCTTTCATCTCATTTGAATGTCATATATCAAATATGTAACTATTTTTGTCCATGATAGCAAATACTTATCTGACAATGACCATGATCTATACAGCTTGACATAAGAACAAGAACATGTCTACACTACTCATCAGTAATCATTTACAAATAAATAGAAAATCTAAATTTACCCTGTGTCTCTTGTTGTTGATTATTAATATTGTTCGAAAAAAAACGATTTTGATTTTCATCTTGTTTCTATAATAAGAAAAATATAATTTTTTTATTGTTCTCAAAAAAAAAAAATAAAAATAAAAAAAAAGACGAAATTTTACATGTAGAAGTTGTCGATTATGATCAGATGATTTAAACGATCTAAATACAAAAAAAAATTCAAATAAAAAAAACTTAGTGACCTTGAAATTTAGTCTTGAATACCCCTGTTGTTCATTTGCTTGTTGTTGGATTTGCATATATTCATTATATCGTAGTTCAAAAGCTTGTCCAATAGTTGTAATAACATCTAATGACTCATTTGGTTCACATGAAAGTACGTGACATGCCCGTTTATTCATATTATCTTTCGCTACATAAGCTATATAATCTTTTGTATCCTAGAATAAAAGAAAAAGAACAAAAGATAAATTTAATAGAAAAAAAAATATTCATACATGTTCACCAGCACTTGCAAATGAGATTCCTTCCATTCTATGTGAACAAAGTATTTGAGAATCATTTTTACGTTTAAGTACAAGTGCATCAGTACTAATTATTAATTGAACAGGTGTATGACTATGTGTTAAATTTGCTTGTGTTGAAATCATTGATTGATCATTTGATAATGTGTCAGGCTAATTAAAAACATATATTAATCCAAAATTTATTATAAAAAAAATATTTTCTAGTTACTTTACGTCTTTCTCGAAGTGTAAGACCAGCTGCCGTGCATACCAAACGTATAGAATCACGTGCAACTCGTGTACGATTATCAAAATCAAGTGATTTCATCGAACAAAGTACTTCAACAGAGCCAAGATACTTAAAAAAAAAATTTCAATGAGTAATAAAATATTAATAATGCTATTACATTAACATTATAAGTAACCCCATGACCTGATAAAAGATCTGTATCTGAATGTATCCAACGTGTTTCTTCATCGACATTAGCCATTTTAGATGAATTTAAAATCATTAAAAAAAAATATTAAATAAAGAAAAATAAAAATGACGAAAGACAACTGAATTGAAGTCAATAAGTGAAGTCGATAAAGAGAAAAATTGACATTCTAATCTTTATAGTCTCCCTCTTCGTTCGTCAAGAGAGAAACAGAAAGAATGGATGGTTAACATACTTTCGAGTTATAAAAAATCATCCAATAGATGTCAGACATTAATAAATGTCTTATATTTCATCATGGAATCAATAAGTGGTTACTTTTTAATCCTATGAAAAAACAAAATGAACATGATAAAATGAATAACATAAACAAAGAAGAGAATATTTGACATTAATTATTTGGAACAAAAATGTCTGAACCACACATTAGTTATGTTCCAAATCAGAGTGGAAGGTAAAAAGAATTGTTTTATTTATAAATTCTATGTATTTTCAATTCATTCTTGTAAGCATTGTTATATGAATTTTGAATACTATAGTTTCTTTTGAATATGAAATAAATCTATCACATTTTTTTTTATTAGAATTTAAAAGATAAATGATAAATAAAATTTAATCATAAAATAACTTTATTAGTTTTGTGATATTGATTTATTTAAAAGCTTTATCAAACGTATATGCCAATGCTAAATCTGACATTCATTGAATTTAATATTCTATTAACTCCATTTAATATGAGCTTTGTATATGCATGTAAATAGAGATGCAAATTATAATAGACTTCAACAGTCGTATCTTAGTCAAATTATCTCACGAGGGAAGTCTCGCAACTGAAAAATCTCTTTTAAGTTGATACTATATGCATTATGTAGATCCAAATGAGTTATTAATACTCCAACAGTTAATGCTCTAACATTATTGCGGTGAAGATACTGCACTTTTACGGTATTTTTTAAATGAATGAAGGAACAAAAGAAAAATTGATTTTCGAATTTCGACTTGAGACTTTGCATAGAGACAAGCCTTAACGCGAACAGTTCTTATTATGAATGTTTCAGATCTTATTGCTGTTCCTATCCTAAAATACAACTATGATAATAGCGTACGACTTTTGCATAGCTCATATAAACCGGCAGATTTGATGTTCTTACTTCAGAATAGGCGAAAGTGGAAGCTTTTATAATAAACTACTCTCATTAAGACTCGTCTCGATGTAAAAGTTTCAAGTGAAAATTTAAATGCCAGTGTTCATGAGGATGACGATGGTATTCATTTAAAAAATATCGTAAAAGTGCAATATCTTCGTAGCAATAAGCTAAGAGTTCGAACTCTTTTCAGGGTATTAATAGTTTATTTAAATCTACATAATGTACATAGTCACAACTCAAAAGTGATTTATCTGTTAGAGGACTTTTCCCATCAGAAAAAAATTCAGTTTCTATTGCATTTAAATCACTATATACACTTTGGGAAATATAGTTCAAACGATTTTTGAGCATGAACTTTACCAATTCATATCGATTCTAGACATGAACTGGACCATCTTTCCTTTATCTAATGTACGCTTTCAATCGTAGACACAAATGAATAGTTAGCTTTGTATATTTATATTATGAAATTATTAGCATAAGTTTCGATTTGGGGTGGACTAGGTCCTCCACTTTTTACGGTTGCGCGCACGTCATCCTTGAAAATGAGATCGCCGAATTCCTTTCGATCGTCTATGTTCATGAGTCTTGTTCCGACGATCATTCTT